AGCAAAGAACCACTTACTGTGTGTGTACCTTTACATTAGCTTCCCATTTGAGCAGAACTACTACTAGATAAAATCCTTGTTTTTATTTTTTCAGTTCTCTATTTGTAAATATACATATGCTTATTTTTAGTCTTTACCTATTTTTTCCTTATCCAGTAAGCACATTGGTGAAAATCTCTCACTCTTTGGAGAAGCATCATAGAATGCACTTTTTTAAGACACCACGATTATGGTGCAGTATGGCAATAGCTATTCAGTCACGGTTGAATCTGAAATGAACATAGTGACATTTCAGGGATAGGCTGGTATGTCCAAGAACATGACATTTCAATGAGACCTTGTATGTCTTGTAGTGCTATTAATCAGGATACATTCTGTCGTAAAAATTTTACTAATGCACAATTGTGCTGTAGTGAATGGTCTATTTTAGCACCACCAAAAGATAAACACATAAAAACTTGCTTAAAAATCAGTCCTGTTCTCTATTTAAAATCAGCTTCAGTCATACGTCTCATTTAAATCCAAACTCAGCCCCGTTCCCTGTTTAAAAAGAAAAACCGGTAACATTGGGAACGCTTCTCTGTCTTGTAAGTATTTCTATTCTTTATACTGCACTGTAATCTTAAATTGGATAAGTCAAATAAATGTTTACAAGATACCAAAAATGGGAGTGATTTCAAATTATCTTGGCTTTGGATGGAGTTGTATCCGTGAATCTTCAGTGTCTTTCAGTTTTATAAGAAAATTATATAGCAAGCTTTTCATGTAAAACCAATGAAGTTCCTAAACCTCAGTTACATATACAACTATGCAAGCCTCTTTGTGGCTAAATGACGGACTCAAGAGTCTATGCAGTCTGACTTGAATGTACATAGTGCGGGCTGCCTATGCCAGTGTCGTCTTTAGCAATGAACCAGATCCTTGTGTCTTTACTTCTAGTTTCACTTTTGCTGTTGGTTTCCAATTACTATTTTAAATACAGCTTTTCTTTTCCAGAGCTACATGAACCTCTTTTTTCATTTTATGAAAATATGCTTGTTCATGAGTTAAAACCTTAGGAGAGTTTACAAATATTTTTGGAGTTCAACGTTTTACATTCAACCCCAGCTTTCCACTAATTCACTGGTTTCATGATGCTCATAAATTTGTCATTAGTTCCACAGAAGTGAAAGGAAATCACCCCCCAGTTTTCTTTTTTTTCCCATAAAAGGAAAAAATCAGCAACACAACCACAAATTTTGTTTCTTGGGAAAACCTATAATTCCACCGTGTTCAAATGTAAAAAGATTTTTTTCCATGTTATATTAATTTCACTGCTACTCTTTGGTTTCTACAAGGATACTTCTCCTATTCCATTTGAAAAATACTTGTGTGTGTCACACTTTCTATCTACCTTAGACATCATTGAAGTAAGAATTCCTTACAGTGTACATGAATAGTTACATTTACCAACTATGACATTTCTAGGAAGTTTTTGCATTTATGACATAAGTATTATTCAATGTTTCTTCCTCTCACCCTGGCTTCCGTGCCTACCCAGGGTTTCTGAGGGCAGGGAATACGTGATCCCAAAAGAATCGGGCACTTTAATGTGTTAATATTGGTTTCATAAGTTTCATGTTTAAATAGATAGGAAGGGTCTCATTCTATGTTCCAGCCAAGATGAATTTGGCATAGAAATAAGGTAAGGGGTTTGAGGCCAAGGGAAATTTAAACCATTTGTATGTACCAGGCTTTCCTAGCTCTTAAAGGGCCTGTGAAGACCAATGTGTTTGGACTGAGCTTTCCATCATCAGTCTTCTAAGTTTCTATCCTTTGCTCTTAAATGCAAGTCATTCAAAAACCACAACATCCTATGTAGCTGAGAGAGAAGGAAAGAGCATTGAGAAGACATTGCACTGACAGAAGTGTGTAACATAATTTCACCTGCTATTCCTCTATGCAGTCTCAGATTATTGTTGTCACCAAAGCGGCCAACCCTGTGGGCGCTCTGAGGCTGGAGCACCCAGCAAAAAAATTAGCTGGGACTTAGCACCTTCTAGCAGCCCTCTGGATCAGTGCCTCCCCCTCTCTCCCAATGCATCCCACTCACCACAATCAGCTTTTCAGAAGCATGCAGGCCACAAAAGAGGCAGGGGGAAGGGGCAAAGAAGAGGGAGGTCAGGAAGAGTTGAGATGGTGATGGGTGAAAGGGGTGGAGTGGTGGTGGAGCCTAGGACACAGCAGCAGCACCTGGGAGCCTCAGGCCATTTTGTATCCCCACACCCTGGGGCAGTTGCCCCCTTTGCCCACCCTGTCAGTGGACCTGCTTTATTAATGTGGCTGCTGCTGTCTCCCAACATGATAGATCTGGGGAATTCACTTGGCTCATTGACATAGTCTCATTCAGTTCACACTAGGAATCCACTGATCTTTGCAGAGGCATAGACCAGTGGGAAGTTTCATGTAGTAAAGAACTGGAAGGATTTTTTCCCTGTCACTCCTTGGCTGTGTCTAGACTGGCCATTTTTTCCGGAAAATCAGCCACTTTTCCAGAAAATCTTGCCAGCTGTCTACACTGGCCGCTTGAATTTCCGCAAAAGCACTGACTTCCTACTGTAAGAAATCAGTGCTTTTTGAGGAAATACTATGCTGCTCCCGTTCGGGCAAAAGTCCCTTTTGCGCAAAACTTTTGCGCAAAAGGGCCAGTGTAGACAGCTGAGATTTGTTTTCCGCAAAAAAGCCCCTATTGTGAAAATGGCGATCGGGACTTTTTTGCGGAAAAGCGCGTCTAGATTGGCCACGGACGCTTTTCTGCAAAAAGTGCTTTTGCGGAAAAGTGTCCGTGCCAATCTAGACGCTCTGTTCCAAAAATGCTTTTAACGGAAAACTTCCGTTAAAAGCATTTCCGTAAAATCATGCCAGTCTACATGTAGCCCTTTTGTTTTGGAGGCAGAGGGTACTCTGAGGTACTTTTCTACCCCCACCATTATTGCTGTATTTGAGCACCTCACAATCTTTAATGCATTTATCCTTCCAATGCCCCTGTGAGGGAGGGCAGTGCTCTTAATCCCATTTAACAGATGGAAAACTGAAGAGCAGAGATACTAAAGTAACCTTCTCAAATAGGAAATCTATGGTGGAGCATGGAACTGAACAATGGTCTTGTCTTCTTAATATTAAGCACAACAATACTTAATATATAGAGCCCATTTCAATAGTAGATTACAAAGGACTTTACAGAGCTAGGACACGCATGCATTGCACAAATGAGGAAACTGAAGTGATTTGCCAAAGATCACACAGCTGGCCATTGACAAAGTAAGAAATTAGACCCAGGTCTCCTGTCTCCCAGTCTGCTACCTTTATCCGGATCTTTTCATCCCTTGGTTAGGGAGAAGTTTAGTGTTTTCAATGTCATGATCTTCTGTAGGTGGAAGCAGCAGCATTTCTGCTCTGGCATAGCTATTCCCCACTTCTGTGATAAGTGAGATAGACTTAAACTTTGCCTTTTAAAGGAACTATCTCTAAAATCTGCACCTGGAACAGATTATGGGCTGCTATGCTGTGCTGCTGAGGGCAAGAAAGAACAGAGCATTGGCTTTGGACGACTCAAGATCAAACCCATGCTGAGTGTGTCAGACTACAGTCCTGATCTCTGCTACCGCATGCCAAGCTGGGGAACTTCACACCTGGGGTGAACCTGGGAGGTCTGAGAGCAAATGTGGTTCTTCTAGTTATGCAGCTGCACTCTCTGGCTATGTCTACACTGGTGGGTTATTGCGCAAGAACGGCTGTTCTTCCGCAGAGCATCCACACTGCCCACCCGCTCTTGCGCAAGATTTACAGTAAAGCATGGTAGGAGAGGGCTTCTTGCACAAGAGCTACGCTCTTTTCTAACAGGTGTAAGCTCTCTTGCGCAAGAGCTCTTGCACAAGAGGACAGTGTGGATGTACAGCAGTGGTTTCTTGCGCAAGAACACCCTATGGCTAAAATGGCCATCAGAGCTTTCTTGAGCAAGAGAGCGTCCACACTGCCATGGATGCTTTTGCGCAAAAGCACATGGCAGTGTGGACGTATTCTTGCACAAGAACCCTTGTGCAAGATGTTCTTGCACAAGAAGCTGCCAGTGTGTTAGCCAAACAGGCTTGTTTCCCCCTGGAGCTAGTCAATTACCCCAAGGAGGCACGGAAGACAAAAGGATAAACGCCAAGCCCTTTATTTGTCGGTCAGCTGAGCGGGTGCTCCCCTCGACTTATGCCAGAGGGAGAGGCACACCAAATTAAGCATACAGCACATTTTTATACCACGAAGTAAATGGCTTAGTTTTGCACTACAAGCAGTCTGATTACACAACCAGGATACATCTACCTAGCTTCCTTTTATTGCACACTTTGAGCACATGCAGCAAAAGCAGCAATGTGACTCGACCTTTTAACCTAATAATCCTTGACAGTATTTTATGGCTTCCCGCTAAGTAGAAATGTGCAACCTCCCTTTGAGGTCCCCTATTCTCCTAACAAGTGTAGACATAGCCCCTGGGTACAGCTAAAGGTCAATGATAGCAGGGCTTGCCAAGCAGCAGCGAGCCCCACTCGCCAGCGACGTGGTTCTGTGCTCTGTGCAAGCGCAGAGTGCGCCGGCTCTTCCGGGGTGTAACCTTGCCACGGGTGAGTAGATTACATTATTTGTCGAGCCCTGTGAATAACTGGGTCCAGCTTTGGGCACCACACTTTCAGTGCGGGTGGAACAATGTTTATAGTGGGGGAGTTGAAAGCCACTGAACAAGTCCCGTTTATGAAGGCAGCCACTTGAAGCCAGCAGTAGGGTAGTTCCAGCATCCTGCAAGAAAGAACCCAAAGGAAAACCTCTCCTCTCCTGTGGGAAAAACGGGCCCTGGAGAAGGCTGAGGTGGGGCATGTTCAGAGCGCGCGTCTGCCCACTCCGACGCCCACCTAGATGCACGACACCCGTTATCTGTCACTCAAGCCCCTTTAACGCCTCGCAGACGGGCACCCTGGCGCGCGGAGCGGAGCCGCGTCTCCTCTTTCCCCATGCACGTCCAGCCTCCTCGCAGCGCCAGCCGCCTGGGCGGGCCGCACACGGGGGCCCCCCGACACAGGCGCAGTGCCCGCCCTCCCTGAGCCGCGCCCAGCACAGCAGCAGCCGGCTTCGGCCCGGGCAGCCGGCTCTTCACGCGCCTTCTGCTGTCGCTCGCCTCCCGGTGGCGGCCGGGCCCTGGGCTCCTGCTGCTGCCCGGCCGGCCCGGGGACGCGAGCAGGGCGGGAGCGCAGGCCGGTCAGTGTCGCGGGGCGCTGCGCGGCTCAGAGCGGCCTGGCCCGAGGGTGGGACCAGGCGGCGGCGGCGCCCTGGAGAAGGAGCCGGCCGCGAGGTGCAAGGAGGGAGGGGGAAGGAGGAGCCTGGGGTGCGTGGGGCGCTGCCGGCAGCGCGGGGCGGCCTGGGCAAGGCTGCGGCGGCGGGGCCCGGGGAGTTGTCGGGAAAGCCCCGGGAGCACAGAGGGCGCTAGGCACACTGGGCAGGCGGGCGGGCTGCCACCTCCTTGGGTTTCAGCCGGTCGCCTCTGCAGCGCCGCTCCCTGCGCCCGCGGGACTGAAAAGACCCGCCCTGGCCAAAGTGCCCCCCCCGGAAAAGGCGCCAGGGACGTGGAGCGCGTAGGGCAGAGAGCCCCGGCTACCCGTGTAACGTGCTGTGGGAGCGATGCCTGGGAAATCCCCCCCGACGGCTCGGGGGCGTGGTGTGTGAAAGGCCACTTCGCTGTGACGTGCCCCGAGTTGCCCAGCTCTTGTGGCTCCCCGGGGAGA